CCTAACGCCTATATTCCTATGGAATTAGGATTAACAAGAACGCATTTGTAATTCCCGTATAATAACCAAGCAAGGCGATTAGGTATATTCCTATCCTAACCGCAAATCCGCTCCCCCTAAGAGTTAAGATCTTGCTCTACTCAATCTTATATGCAATCTAGAATTCCCTCTCCCGAGTTCAATCCTAGATTCGTAGATAGTATTCAATTGGTGATCAAGCAATCAAATAATTAAGCGCAAGATTGAATAAATAAACCAATATGATAAAATAATAAGAACAATTCAGGCTTCAAACTACAACGTTTATGTAGCACCCAAAACTCTAGAACTAATAAACTATGAAACTAAAGGAAGAGAAGAGAAGAAAAACTAGTTGAAAGCCTCCTCCAAGCGTGGTGTGTGTTCCCCCACGTGAATTCTCTGTTAAAGTATGTTAGATCTCTCTAAAGTGGCGTCCTCCCCTCAAAAAATGTGTTTAGTCTTGCTTTTATACGTGTTGGGTAGGTCTAGGGCCGAAATAACCTTTTCCCGGGCAAAGTTGGACAAAATTCCCGTCACTGGCACCCTGACTAGCGCCAGGCGCCCTCCACGGTGCTCCATTATTTTACATTCTGTTTCTGGCACCACAGGTAGGGCTGGGCGCCACAGGTGGCGCCCAAATTCGCAAGTTTCCCGATTTCGTTCGTTTTGGCTCTAATTTTTCACGTTTCGCCCCCAATTGCTCCCGAATCATTCCTACACATAAAAACACTTCAAAATAATATAAATAATCACATTTACCATCCCAAATTCACGAAACAAAAGTAAAATATGAGGCGATATACATAGAAATATATATGCTTTAAGCTAAACATCAGTGCCATGATACTTACACGCCAAGTTAGGGTCCCTCTGGGTAGGTTCAGATTGCAATGGTCGAGGCCTCTTGGTTTCCTTGATATGCCCGATAGCTTACACGATGCTAGCAGAAACAACGTTGAAGCTATGTTCTGACAATCTTGATGCTTCCCTGGCCCCGAGCAGCCTGTTGAAACCATTTTTGCTCATCGGTCCTTGGCTATTGGACCCTTGATCTCTTCAATTTTCGTTCCTCGTGAGGTGACGCTCGGACCCATTTCCCCTTTGATCTCTATTGTATGGTTGATACCAGTCTCGATTCATGATCAACGACTCTCTTAGACCTGTCGTCGGCTCTAACGGGATAAATTGACCCATAAGGGGCTTCGAGTTGGTCATCCACGACTCTGATTAATGACTGTTATATGTTATGGACGTCAGCCCAAGTTACCGCCGGGTACTCTACCAAATTTTATTTTAGTTGTTGCGAAGCCATGAAGCTTGGGGGTTAAGTCCTTGAGTGAATGCCTGAACGGCCCAATTATCGGCAACTGGAGGCAGGTCCATCCGTTTCATCTGGAACCTCGCCACGAACTCCCTGATCATCTCGTTATGTCTTTGTTTAACCTTGAAAAGGTCCTATTTTCTGGTTTCGACCTTGATGACCCCTGCATGGGCTTCACAAAAGCATCTGCAAGTATAGCAAACGAATCAATAGAATTTGGGGGTTAATTGTGATACCATATTATTGCTCCTTTCGACAGAGTTTCCCCGAGCTTCTTTAGCAACACCGACTCGATTTCATCATCTTCCAAGTCATTCCCCTTGATGGCACATGTATGGAGGCCACATGCTCATTTGGTTCCGTGGTTCCGTTGTACATTGGAATATCAGGCATATGAAACCTCTTCGGGATCGGCTTTGGTGCAGCACTCGGAGGGAAAGACTTTTGGATAAACTTCTTGGAATCTGGTCCTTTCAATATGGGGTGCTCCCAGGATTTGATCGACCCTGGAATTGTATGTCTCTAACTTCTTGTCGTTGGCCTCAATTTTCTTCTCTCCTGATTCCACCTGCTTTGTCAACTTCACCCGACCTCTCGGTGGTTTAATTGTTTCTTTGGGTGTTCTCCCAGGACTGGTCATGCCAGGGGCGTGGCCTTGATTCTGTAGCTGTGCTATCGCCTCCTGTTGAGCCTGTAGCATTTCAAAGATTAGCCGCAGGCTTACCCCATCACCTTTGCCTTTGGGCGTTTCTCGAACTGTTGGTCGGGGGCCTCCACAAATGCTGTTTTCGGGGTCAGGTGGAAGGTTGACGTTGATAGCAGCCTGCGAATTGGCGTCGATTGGATTGGCAACTGGGACTCCGTTAGGGTCAGCAGGGGCACTGGTCACACCCAACTCTAGTCCTAAAAAGGATAAGCGGTCCCTGCAAATATAATCCGGTCTAAGAGTCCAGAGTCGAATCCCACAGAGAACTAAGGTTTAGCTACAACAATTCACTTTCACTAAGAAGACAAGCTCGAACAATTCCTAAGTTAGAAATATTAAGATTCTTATGTTTAACCAATTAGCTAAAAAATTAAAGTAATAAATTAATAACTAAAGATACTAAGGGTTGAAAACAAGATTAAGGAGGTCTAGAGTTATGATTTTCCCAATTGTCGGAATCCTTCCCGCTATGTATTCTATAATTTCGCTTAATTATTCTCTACTAATCATGAGCACTCGACTTATCGTAATTCTCTCTCGAGCAACTACAATAATGTACTAGTCATATTATCTCAAATTACGCTAGCTCGCACTTTTTCATTATGATCACGTCAAAGCTTCATTATCTCTAATCCTGCTTTTAAACCCACCGTATTGATCTCTCATATACATTAGGAGTGATGTTGTTCAATAATCACCTAAACATGTACTCTTTTTCCAAGCAATACATAATAAATAGACACCGTTAATTGAGAGCTCTTCAATTAACTAAAATAAGCATGCAGTTGAGCAAATAGAAAAATTCAAAGACTCCCTTATATCAAAACATATCAAGAATTCATCCTACAAAAGGTTCCATCAAAACCCTAGATAACAAATTAGCTATTCATATTATTATGCAAAACTACAATACTAGAATTCATAACCAATAATGGAAATAAGAAGAAGAAAGTGAAAAACTCGTAGAAGAATTCTCCGTTTTGCTCCTTGTGTGTTCTAGCCTCCTTAGGTCAAAATCCCCTCCTTAGGTCGATTCCCCTCCTAAGGTCGAATTCTCCTCCTTAGGTCGAATCCTCCCTTCAAAAGTGAGTTTTTAAAGACTATTTATATGGGATAGGGTTAGCATGCGGAGAAATAATACAAGCCAACTTTGGAAAAGACTTTTTAGGTTAGCTCGTTCACTCTCGTGCGCACGCGAGAGTGAACGAGCGAAGTACTTCTCTTTTTCTTTACCTCCCAAATCTCTTGTGCAATTCCATGCCTTTTTAGCTTAGTTCGATGTTTTTTTCAAGCTTTTCCTCTGCTAGCTCGTTCACTCCCTTGTGTGCACGCGAGAGTGAACGAGCGAAGTACTTCTCTTGTCTTTTGGTCCCAAATGAACTTCTTTTCCTCATCTTTCGTCCAACTTGCTCCTACACATAAGAGCACGTAATAAGCATAATTCATTACAAAAACTCATATAGTCGCTTGTAACCACACAAGTTATGAGATGAAAGTACAAAAAAAAAAATATGCATTTTTAGCCGTTTATCAGGCACCTCGTTGCTAGGCACTAGATTGTTGTTTTCGCCATGATGGCCAGACTCAGCCCAACGCTCAAGTGGGCAAACTGAGAGTTCGATATTTTTGAGTTGACCTGAAATTGAGACTAAAGAACAAGCATAAAATAGAGTGTGTTATGGAAATTCGTATCAAACTACCACTATTATCCTTAGCCCCACTGTGGGCACCAAATTGTTTACCCTTAGAACAGATAACAATTAAATTTGTACGCGGTTTTAAGGATATGCAAATAGATTCAACACGAATAATCAAGAATGTTAGATAAATGAATTAAAGACACAATGAGTCGTCAAACCAGTGGTAACGTAATGGCCCAGCTTGGACTTGGATTAGGCAATAGTTTCTGCCCTCGGTAGGGTCCTTGGCTCGAAGCCAATCAAGAACAAAGAACAAAAGTAAAATAGGGGCTTTGCAATAGTTAAAAAGCAGAGAAATGACATTGTATTGCCTTGGTATGCGTGTTACAATGTGTCTTATTAAAATCAAAGCTTCCCCTTTATACAGTAGGAGAATTTCATCTCTAGTATATTTCTAAAAAAAGGTAAAAATACTCCTTTCACGTTAATTACTGATATGTTACCAACATCGGGCGACATCCACATCGTGATATCCGGCTGGGTGCAAATATCACAACCCTCTATTAGTCGTGTGCAACTGTTTGCCATATTTTCCGAGGTCTTGGAGCTCGTTCTGGATTCGGGAGAGTGTTGCCTTATCAGGTCTGATGGCGAGCATTCCGTTGGGCCTTGCTACAAAGTGTTCCCGGCTTCGATTTCAATGTCATATACTCTTACTCCATTTTGATACACCAGGAAATAGGGGCGTGCATTAACCCCGATTTCACCCGTATACAGAAGGTATCGGTTTGTTGCTCATTAAACAAATGTCATTTGAAAGTTGCCCAGCAAATTAAACTTAAATCATAAGAAACTCATTGAAAAGAATTCTCAAAAATACTAAAAGGTTAAAGCTAATCTGGTTTCTCAAATGGTTTTAGGTTTTTTCTTTTGCTCTAATTCTTGCAAAAGTGCAATCACCACGGGCTTCTAGGGTAGTTTTTTCATCTTTTTTGGTAGTCAATGAGTACTTCTCAAATGAATAGAACAGATTTGAGAATGCTTCGGACATGCTAAAATCAAAATATAGGGACGCAAAATTGATTTTGAGAACTACTGTGAAACTTTTACTTAAAGTTCTAAAATTGTGAACCGGCAAGCCTACTTGTCATAATTCACATACCAAATCATGAAGAGCTTGCAACATATGTAGGCTATAGTTAATTTAAAACTTTAAGTGCACGTGAATCGATTGCTACTTTCAATCTTCACACTCATAACTGTAATTCTTCTTAAGTGGCTATAGTTCAAATAAGACATGTAAAAGCGGATATCTAGTGAAAATTCCACACCTATTCATTGCCTTCAAGCTTTTGCATCAGACGTAAAATGGACAATATCACAACACACTAGCTAAACGGCAAGTGTTTCAGAAGCCATATCGAAATCAGAAAAAAAACAAAAAACAAAAATGAGGATGAAATTGCGATCGAGAGAAAGAAGATGCCAGCCAAAAGGATGTCCTCTGATGTCATACTCTCGTAACTTTTAAGAAAATTTCTTTGGCATCAACTAGAATTATTTTTATTTTTTTTTTAAAAAAAAAAAAAAGAGAAACAAAAGGACCTTCAAAGCTGTTATAAAATCGCTAGTAAAGTAATAGCAATAATCTACATCAACTTGTATCTCTTCTCCTGGACTCCAGTAACTCCCATTTGTATCTCTATGATCGTGTGAAGTGGCATCTGGAAATTTTGTAGAGCATTAAAAGTCTGATGCAAATTACCTTCATATTTGTACTAGACCGGGAAAGCAAATAGCTTAGCGATATATTAATAATGAACCGTTGCTAGAAAACTCGGTTTCACTGAGCAAAATGGACCAGGGAAATGAATAACCACAAAATATAATCAAGAGATGATTCCAGTTCAAAAGCTTAGGATACTTTCCACATTGGTACCAATGATGAGGATGGTACAATTATCAGCTAGCCCTTAGGGTCGTTGGGTAGAATGTATTAGGGAAAATAATATATGTATTAGCTTTGGTATTATTATTTCCTTTTTTGGTAGTGTTTTTCAAACCATGTATAACTAATACAAGTATTCAATACTATTCTTATACATATCAAACCGGATACATGGATAAGCATGTGAAATACCCTATGCAATGCATGGTATTTCTAATATACCAAACCAAACAATCCATAAAAAATGATCCCAACATAATTAATCACAGCGTTACTAATCCCAACATTAGTAATACATGCTATTCAGTATTATTATTATACACCCTACCAAATGACTCCTTAGTATTAAATTTTCACGATCTTGGAAAGGGGAAAAAAAGCTAAGGATAGATTTATGTTCAAGATTTCTGTTAGAACACCCTATTCAATATTAATATTATACACCCTACCAAACGAGTCCCTAGTATTAAACATTTTCACGATCTTGGAAAGGGGAAAAAAAGCTAAGGGTAGATTATGTTCAAGATTTCTGTTAGAATCCTATCAGTTCCTTTGCTACCATTCACTTAAAATTCACAGAGGCGTATCTAAGAGTTTGAGAAAATAGGTGCACAATTACGAAGAGGTGAGTCCATAATTTACATTTAATGGGTTTCATATTTAGGTTCTTACCATGACTTTTGAAATTCTAGGGGTTTTTTTTAATTGTAATTTTAATAGTTTCTTCACATATGTATCCATCTCCGTATCATTAATCTCGGGATCGGTTGAACCTATTCATGGTATGCTACATTCTCCACCATAGCTAACTTTAATATAGACCTTCGATTTAATTTTACAAAACATAACGATGATGACAAAAGAAAAATACAGATTTTAATGTGTCAAAGAAAAGAGTAAACCAAACAAAGAAAGAAAAAGAAAAAAAAGTACTTTAAAAACGTAAGAGGGGATACAAGACATGTTCATCCCCACAGGTGGATCCAATTCTAAAAAAAGAAAGGAAAAACTAATAAGATAGACGTGAGATTTGATCCTCCAAATTCAATTCTAGAAAAAGAAAGGAAAAAACTATAAGACAGTCGTGGGATTTGGAACCCCGACTTTCACTAGCAAAAGTGCACCCAATACTCATTGTACCATAGAACTCTTTGAGCTTGGGTGCGCACATATATATTAACTAATTTAGAAAAAATGTAACATTCTTATACATGATTTAAGGAGAGGAGCATGGGGTTCATGTGAACCCATACCCCTCCCCTTGGGTACGCCCCTGCTTAAAAAACACTAAGGTGTAGTTTTTCTATATGGGAAGGGTTAACTAACCATATTCAGCATCTTGCATTTATGTTTCTGGAAAACAATTATATATGACATTAACACCACACTTTTAACTACCAAAAAGAGCAAGGATGTAAACAGATATACATCCATGTTCTTTTTGGTAACAAGTTAACAATCATATTCATTAATTGCTTCACATGGAAATGCAACATAGAAGTAGTTACTGTATTATTAAAGTAATTACCTCTATATGTGGAATTTCGTTCAAAGGCCTATCAGCAAAATAAGCATACAAAGCCCTCAATACCGCCTACAAGAAAATTTAGAATGAAACATGTTACTGGTTCCAGCAAATGCTATACCCGCACACTGCAGAGGGAAACATTTCATGTTATTAAAACTTTTGCCACCTGATGTGATATCACTACCACGGGTGCTCTCTGTCTTTCAAGCTCTATAATCACTGGCTCCAACCTGCAGCATGTTGAGCCTCAATAGAATGCAATTGTGAGTTCTAAAGTTTGTTTAACTGAAAGCATTCTGACAACAAACCTCTGTATGACATCAAGGTAAGACTCGCCTCTGGGGTATCTATACCTCAGCTTGTCATTTTTACGTGACCTGTAAATTGTAATAAGTAAAAAGGAAGAAAATGACATAAATAGTATCACTACAAGAGAATGGACTAGACCCATCCACCAACATTTCCACTCAAAATATAGAAACAAACAACTTCAACAGTGAATATGAAGAGGAAGAGCGGACCACAAAAATGAGTACCCTATAAGAGCAAAGGAAACCTGCTCTCACAAGACCAATCGGTAGCACAAAACCGACTCTATAGAGAGTTATTCTTGAACCAAAACTTGAACATAAGCCACAGTTGCAAAATAGTGGCAACTATTTCCGTCTTGCTAGTACAAATCTGCGTCACAGTATAATTGCCTTGCAGCAGAGAAGAGATACAGATGACTCATAGGTGATATTTCCCAGTATAATCTACCTTCTTCGTTCTGTTTCTTCCACTTTTCCACTTAAATTCCTTTAAACTGGTAGTTGAGGTTTTTAAGTATTATCCCATATTAACCATTGGCTTAAGTAGTGTTCACTCATTCTCACTTGACCACAAGTAACATTAGAAATCAGAAAAGTTAATATTTACTCGAGCAATGGCCTGTCAGCAGTGTCTAATTTTTGTCAATAAGCGAATGACAAGATACTACAACCTCCCAAGCCAATCACAATATCAATATCTTTGATTTGCAAGTCAAACACGAAGGCCTTCAAATTAAACAGCTCCGCTAAAATGCTTTATCTTCGTACAAGATCTTAGGTGGTTAGAACTTCAGTGTCACCTTTGGAATAAACTGGTAGCAGTACTATTTCCTTCTCAGTATGTGTTTCGAGTTTGTTGACTGTCTCAACAAAATCATGAACATTCGAATCGCTGATTACCTTCGTTTTTCATAGAGAATGGGGAAGAATGCATCATACAAGGTTAAGAATAGTTGTGACATACTCGTATTCTTCAGGCATATTTTTCTTTATTTCCTCATAAGTCATTCCATCACATACACCAGCATTGATTTCATCAAGGGCTCGCCATTGTATCTGCAAAGGAGTGCGGGGACATAATAAAACAGAATCACCTGAGGTTAATGTTGGGATGGAAAGACTCAAATGATAGCTAACCTTGGGGAATTCACCAATTGGACTAGCTGTCAAAACTGTTCTTTGCAGTGTGCTGGTCCATATCTAGGCCAATGAAAGAATAAAGGAGAGCATATTATACAAATTCTCTAGCAATAGAATTAAATTTAAGCTATCTGGCAATTTTTTGCAGAGTAGCACTACCAGGTACCCTCAGGAACGTGATATTTTGTGCTGAGAGAGAACCACACACCATATATATATATCAAGGTGAAATGCAACTGATTGTCAATCCTATGCTTTATCAATTGTTTTAATGTTTAGAATGACAAACATTCTCCCAGCCTCGCCTCTTATTGCAAGATGCCCCATAGTAAAAAAGTAGGGCAATCTCAACTTTATACAATTCGATAAATGCATAGATCAAAATCAAAAAGAAAAAGAAAAATTTATGCAATTAACCATCAATTGGTACAACTTACAGAAGCAGCCTTTTCATTTTTCAGTCGTTTTTCAACAAATTTGGCAAGCTTCTTCGCATAGACCTCCCCAGCTTCACTGTTAGAGTAGTTTGTCAGTGATATAAGCAAACATATCTAGATAAAACAGTCTAAAGTTCATGACTTGACATGAAAGAATCAAACTGAGATTCGGAAGAAGATTGAATGCATTAGTAAAAAACTTGCACCAAATTGCTAGAAACAGCAGGAAATGATCTCCAACAACTACCTAAATGCACCAAATACGCATGTCACTCCTTAGTACCACTATAAATGAAAACTGAAAACACCAATAAGAGTCTACTATCCTATCTTAAACCCAGTCTAATCCCACAAGTGGGGTCTAGGGGTAGTATGTACGCAGACCTTACCCCTACCTTCAAGAAGGCAGAGAGACTGTTTTCGGAAGACCCTCGGCTTAGGATAGGTAAAGGGAAGGGAAACAACAACAAGCATACCAATTAGAAAAACGAAGCAAAAATACAAAACTAAATATACTAGGTACTGCAATTAGAAAGCCGACAACAAAGCAATAACAAGTAATCACAGAAGTCAAGGGATACGAGAATACACAAATAACACTAAATCACGTACTAAAGCTATTGTTACCGACAAGAACAACGCTCGACTACCTGTCCTCACCCTCTACCTTAATTTTCAACCTCTATACCTTCCTATCCATGGTCATGTCCTCAGTAAGCTGGAGCAACGCCATATCTTGCCTAATCACCTCTCCCAATACTTCTCCGGCCTGCCTCTACCTCTCCTTAGGCCCTTCAGGGCCAACCTCTCACACCTCCTCATCGATGCATCCGTGCCTCTCCTCTTCACATGCCCGAATCATCTAAGTCTCACCTCCCGCATCTTGTTCTCCACAGGGGCCACGCCCACCTTGTCCTGAATAACTTCATTTCTAATTCTATCTACCCTGGTATGCCCGCGCATTCATCTCAACATCCTCATTTCAGCCATCTTCATCTTTTGGACATGGGAGGTCTTGATTGGCCAACTCTGCCTCATACAACATAGCCGGTCTGACCACCGCTCTATAGAACTTACCTTTAAGTTTTGGTGTCACATTCTTATCACGCAAAACACCGGGAGCGAGCCTCCATTTCATCCACTCGGCCCTAATACAATGTGTAACATCCTCGTCGATCTCTCCATTCCCTTGTATAACTGACCCAAGGTATTTAAAACTTTCTCTCCTAGGTATGACTTGCGAATCAAGCCTCACGTCTTCGTCCACTACCTGGGTTGCACCACTGAACTTACACTCCAAGTATTCTGTCTTGGTCCTACTCAAGTTGAAACCTTTAGATTCCAGAGTCTGCCTCCAAACCTCTAACCTCTCATTAACGCCGCCTCGTGTCTCATCAATCAGAAAAACGTCATCTGCAAATAACATGCACCACGGCACCTCCCCTTGTATGCTACACGTCAGTGCGTCGATTGCCGAGGCAAAAAGAAATGGGCTGAGGGCTGACCCCTGGTGTAACCCCATCGTAACTGGGAAGTGTTCCAAGTCCCCTCCCACAGTCCTCACTCGGTATTGAATGAAATAGGTAAGTCAAACTAAAGGTCAACAATTTGCTTTCGTACCATTGTAGATTGTAAAATGGTACATATTTACCATCTGCTATCTCAAATAAAAAGTAAATAGGATTATGCAAGGTAAGGGAAAAAAACTAGCATCTTTGGTGTTTCTAGAGAGACCTTAATACAGTGTCACCACCAATTCTGCCTCTAACATTGTCTAGGCTCTCTCCATGCCTTGTAAGCAAAATTGGACGAGGCGTAAGATGTGTATTGACCTGCATATCAGATAAGTCTATAATGGGATTCAACAAAATTCTAAAACAAAGTGAATATTTAGCGAAAAAAAGAATCTCTAGATCAGGCAAACCACCATCACTCAAAATTGCAACTTTAACGCTGAACTTTAGAAAACTATGTTTTCTTCCTTGCCTTCTCAGGATAACAAGAGGCCTCATTACATACAGAAAAAAATAAGTATAAGTTTCTCACCTTATATAAAGATTTCATACCATGTAACTGGCGGTAATAAGTAAGCTAAGTTTCATTGACAAGTCTGTACTGAAAATTAATCACTTCCATCAACAAGTCGCAAGGATATTTGGAGTCATACTGATTACTGAACGCTTTACTTTTAAACGTGTCTCTTACAAAGATGTCAACTACAAGAACAGATCTTGAATATTTAAGACCTAAATGATTGATCCATTTGGTTTAATTATCTATTGATGCACATTTATCTGCAGTCTCTGCAAGTTCCTTTTTGTATTCTGTCCACCGAGGAGGTCCATAATGGAGATCCATAGCAATGTTAAATAGAAATATTTCATGGCCAACAAAACTTAATCAACAAAATCAAAAGATGCCTGAAGAGAGAGCAGAAGGTTGGAAGAGAACAGAAGACACTATGTAGAATAAGCAGCAACTTACCAAGAAGAAGACAATCCGCCCAGGTAGATAGCCACTGATATTATTCACCTGGGAAACGAGAAGAGATCCTTCAAAATCATGTCACTTTATAAAAAGTTCCTACAGAAGTTTCTAGGCCACTTATCTTGAAAAAAGGGATTTCCTAGAGAATTCATTTATTCCCTTACAGTCGCTTAAGCTATGCCTAGCACACACAGATGCATTTACTGAAGTAATCAAGTCAACATGAAGAAATCAAACAGTTTGAATTGCGTGTGATCAAATTCGGAATTCCTTAGACATAGAATGCAGCATTTGGGACCACATTTCTTCAACCTTTTGAGGTTCTTTGCTTAACGATACAGATGAACCACAAAGTCTATGATTATGAGAAAAGGTCACTTACTTGTATTTGTCCCCCATGGCCACTAACCATATCAATCATTTTGATATAAGACCCTTCCTCTACAGGCTCATAAACCTTGAAAAACAAAAAAAATAACGTAATATTATTCCAAAGTATTCATTGCAAATAGAACGAAAACAACCATAATAATTATGATCAAGAATATCACTTTTTCATAATTATCAAGGCGAGTCTTGAAGTCTCTGTAACCAGCTTCAAAATCAGGCCTGTTGAAAAAATGCCACTAATTGTGTATGAGTATTTTTCACTAATATACGAAAAACAAAGTGATAAGAATTGTACACTTCGGCATAGTCTGGGCTCTGTTGAACTTTTAGACGTATATTTCTTTCTATTATATTAGGATCATTGCAAATTGTTTCCAAGAAAATAATCTGCAAGTAGAAAAACAAAAGGCATCAGGAGAGGATATTACAATCAGATAGAAGTCTAAAACTTCCACATATACAGATTCATTAAAACCAACCAACAAATATCAACATACAGAGCAAATCAACCAATAAATATCACCATACAAAGTAAAATTTTCCTGTGGCTTGTCCCCAGCCAGTAGTAGAATAAAGTTAACATATCGAAGAAAAGAGAAACACATAAGATAATTCACGGCAATGTTAAAAGAACAGCTTTGCAGCGCAGCAACAACAACAACAACATACCTAGTGTAATCCCACAAGTGGGGTCTGGGGAGGGTAGTGTATACCTTGACCTTACCCCTACCTTGTGATAGTATGATAATTCACGGCAATGTTAAAAGAAAAGCTTTTGCAGCGCATAAGCATTAAATTACTGAGATCATAAGAATTCTAGCAATTCCTTGGGATGGCTACGATGCAGAGCTTTATTAGCAAGGAATTAAAAAGACACCCATGAAGCTTGAGAGAGACTTCATAGTTCTCTAGAAATCCTGCTGACTAACTAAAGAAGGCAACTAGCTACTCTCAAATGAGCAGTAAGAACACATTGATTTCATAGCTATGAGGACTCGGATATTATCCCACCAACCCAACTTGCAACCCCAGATATAAAATAGGACCTTGTATTTACTGAGGAAGATACTGCAAATTACAAAAGTTATGATTTATCCATCACGGGAACTTAACAATTTCTGCCTTAGCACTCAGTACTACTACATATTAAATACAGTATAATCTTCTACAAAGGTAACTTTGAGAAAGTTACTAAAATCTACCTTGCATTTTCCCTCAGCCATTTCCGTAAGCATATTTCTTCTTCCCCTTGTGCTATTTGTGGCATCAAATATTCCTACCTGCATGATATACATACAAGCTCAAATTGTGATGCTAGAGAAGCACAAGTGGAGGCCATGTTTTCTACAACAATGGAGGCTTATTGGCCTCACAAAGGTGCCAATGGATTTGGAGAATTGGACCACGGATTTAAAATGCTTACACTAATTAGACTTAGTCCAATTGAGGCCCAAGAATCTCAAGAAATTGAAGAAGTCCAAGAATCCATTCAAGATTGGGATTTCTTTTCCTTAAAGATTAGGATTTCTTAATTCTTGTTTTAGTAGGATTATATTTATAGTTCTAGTCAAACTAGGATTGTTAGTTGGTATTCAATTCCTACTAGAATTCTTTTTCCTATTTTAGTTTGGATAGGTTTTTCTTAGCCTTATTTTTATTCTACTTTAATTGGGATTAGTTTTCGTTAACCTTATCAATTTTACTCATTGTAAGGCCTATTTAAAGGGCTCAATATGCTGAAAATAAATATTGGTGATTAGTTTTTTAAGCTCTTGCTTCAAAAAAGTGATTTCTCGTTCGTTTATTTTTTCTTCCTTTATTCAACGCTTCTTGCAATCTTGCGAGATTGAAAAACGAGTGGCTAAGGTTTTTTTTATCTTACATTCTTCTCACGTGAGCTTGAAGAACGCTTTCGCTAGTTTTGTGAAAAACTTTAGCGGGGTGCTTTTGTTTTCTCTCTTCTTTGTGCTTGAGAGATGCAAAACCTTGAACGTACATCAATTATCAGAGCACAGGTTATAGGTCTGAATCCTTGAATTGCTATCTTGTTCATCATGTCGCCGGACAAGAAAATAACAAGCTCGGGATCCTTTTCAATTGATGAACAACTTCAGATTGAAAGATAAAGAACTACAACTCTCGAACGAAACAATGAAGAAATTAAAGTGCAGCTAGATAGCTTTAAAGTGCAACTAGATGACTTGAGGAAATCAATGCAGAATCTGACTGAATTGATTGAAGGTTTGGCGATTCAATATCAGCCACCAAATCCACCACAACGCCTACAACCTCCACCACCACCAAGACACAATATACCAGTGCTACCGCGACGTCTTCCACTTCGAGATCCACCAATTCAATCGCGTAGAGCGGGACACATTGAGCAAGCGGAAGAAGCTATAGCTGACCACGGCATAAGAGTACAGAGGCACCATGTTCACAATGATAAAAACTCATAATCGGAATATTCCGATAATCAAGGTAGTGAAGAGTATGGCTCTGACGAAGTTCAGTATCAACATGATAGAAAGAGACATCAAAGAAGGCCACATAATAATAATCGAGAGAGGAATCAACGTGATGATATGAAGCTTGAAATTCTGGAGTACGATGGCAAATCTCAAGGCGATGAATTCATTGATTGGCTTATAACTATTGAGCGTGTTTTTTATTATAAAGAATATTCTGATGAGAAGAAGGTCAAGCTTGTTGCTATAAAGCTTAGAGGTTATGCATCGCTATGGTAGGAAAACCTCAAAAGGGAGCGAGAGCTTGAAGGAAAAACGCGAATTTGCACTTAGGAGCGAATGAAATGAGAATTGCGCAAACAGTTCTTGCAAGAGGAGAATTGCGCAAATAGTTCTTGCAAGAGACGTATGAAGAAGATTCTTACTTGAAGTTTCATTCTTTTAGACAAGGAAAAGACAAGGAACTTTATTCGTGGATAAGTACACAAGAGAATTTGAAATCTTAGGCTCAAGAGTGGCATTAAGGAAAAACCAGCTCGCCTAATTGCTCGTTATTTGGCTGGATTAAATAAGCCTATTGCGAATGTGATACGATTGCAGCCCCCTTGGACCTTTGGAGATGTTGTCAAACTAGCCAAGGTCGTAGAGACACAATATAGGGAAGCCAAAGCCACGTTTTCATCAATTACCATCAAAAAGCCGAACACTTCCAACCATGGGAGTACTAGTTTGAGCTCTACAAAGCCACAATCATCTACAACAAAACCAAGTATCTAGAAAGTTGAAGGAAGCCCATGACTTCTGAAGCTATTTTTAAAAAGAGATGCCATAAATGCGGAGGACTTGGGCATATACAAGTTGATTGTCCTCACGGTTAGTTAGTTAGCTGTTATGTAAATAAGCATAGTCCTACATGAAATAGGAGTAGTGTAGGTATTGTTTATTGTTATCATTTGTGGGTACTTATTATAGTTAATACTTAATACACATGAATAATATATTTTCCTGTGCTTTCTAACATGGTATCAGAGCAACTAGTGAGAAATCCCCGTTGTGCAGTAACCAGCGAGTCCGGGACAGTCACCGTGCCTTTTTTCCGATTTATTTAAGGTTGCTTTTTTCGTCATCCCTTCTCCGGTAGGTTTTTTTTACGAAAAATAACACCACCAACAGGAACGGAATTCTCAGGTGACCAAACCCTAGAAAATCACACCGGCAGAACACGAGCCACGTGCACTCACGCGCCTATAGAACTTCTGAGCCGGCGGCGCATCAAACCCATGAGCCGGCTCGTGACCATTGTTCCGACCACTTTTTGGAAAAGTTTCTTCGGGATAGTCTCATCGTCTAGTAATTCTAACCGGGCCCATACTATTTTCTTTTAATTCCGAGCAGTTTGAGATTTCTCCGGCGGTTACATTGATTTTCCGGCAGCTGCAGTAATATTTCCAAAATATACGGCGTCTCCTTCGTCTGTTTCAACGAGTTTCAATTGATTTATGTATTTGGTGATAATTTTATAGACCTCTCTTCAATCCAACGATGTCTTTGGGAGTTGATGTTTTTGGGTCTAAAAACACGGGCTCTAGCAGTTCTTCTGTTATGATTACCTTAGAACCTTTAATGGTGTGAGAATGCATGGGAAAAAATATTATTGATTAATTTTAACAATGATATAATGAGCCCTATATATATATATATATATATATATATATATATATATATATATATATATATATATATACACTCCTAATACATATGGGATTAGGATTATTTACTACTATTTAACTATCAAACTAACACTCCCCCTCAAGCTGGTGCATATAAATCACATGTACCGAGCTTGTTACATATATAACTAATACGAGGACCAGTGAGGGACTTGGTGAAAATATCAGCAAGCTGATCATTCGACTTCACAAATTTTGTAGCAATATCTCCCGAGAGTATCTTTTCTCTAACAAAGTGACAGTCAATCTCGATGTGTTTAGTTCTCTCATGGAACACTGAATTTGACGCAATATGAAGAGCAGCTTGATTATCACACAGAAGTCCCATCCGACTAATCTCACCAAATTTCAACTCCTTGAGCAACTGTTTGATCCAAATTAGCTCACATGTCGCCATAGCCATTGCTCGATATTCTGCTTCTGCACTAGACCGAGCAACCACATTCTGTTTCTTGCTCTTCCAAGACACCAAATTTCCTCCTACTAAGACACAATATCCAGACGTAGAACGTCTATCAGAAGGTGATCCTGCCCAATCAGCATCTGAGTATCCAACGATCTGCTCATGGCCTCGATCTTCAAACAATAAGCCTTTGCCTGGAGCTGATTTTATATACCGAAGAATGCGGACAACTGCATCCCAATGACTATCACAGGGAGAATCCATAAACTGACTCACAACACTCACAGGAAAGGAAATGTCAGGTCTAGTCACTGTGAGGTAATTTAATTTACCAACCAACCGCCTATATCTTGCAGGATCGCTAAGAGGCTCCCCCTGTCCTGGCAGAAGTTTAGAATTCGGATCCATCGGAGTGTCAACAGGTCTACAACCTGTCATTCCTGTCTCCTCAAGAATATCTAAGGCATACTTCCGTTGTGAGATCACAATACCTGAGCTAGACTGAGCGACCTCAATACCCAGAAAATACTTTAATCTGCCCAGATCCTTAGTCTGAAAGTGCTGAAAGAGATGTTGCTTCAACTTACTAATACCATCCTGATCATTGCCGGTAATAACAATATCGTCAACATAAACGACCAGATAAATACAGAGATTTGAAGCAGAATGTCGATAAAATACAGAGTGATCAGCTTCACTACGAGTCATGCCAAACTCCTGAATAACTGTGCTGAACTTACCAAACCAGGCTCGAGGAGACTGCTTTAGACCATAGAGGGACCGGCGCAACCGACATACAAGGCCACTAGACTCCCCCTGAGCAACAAAACCAGGTGGTTGCTCCATATAAACCTCATCCTCAAGGTCACCGTGAAGAAAAGCATTCTTAATGTCCAACTGATAGAGAGGCCAATGGCGAACAGCAGCCATGGATAGAAAAAGGCGGACTGATGCAATTTTAGCCACGGGAGAGAAAGTATCACTGTAATCGAGTCCAAATATCTGAGTATATCCTTTGGCAACAAGACGAGCCTTAAGTCGATCAACCTGGCCATCTGGACCAACTTTGACTGCATACACCCAACGACAACCAACAGTCGATTTACCTGAAGGAAGAGGAACAAGCTCCCAAGTACCACTCGTATGTAAAGCAGACATCTCGTCAATCATAGCCTGTCGCCATCCGGGATGAGACAGTGCTTCACCTGTAGACTTAGGAATGGAAACAGAGGACAAAGATGACACAAATGCACAATGGGATGATGAGAGACGATGGTAACTTAAACCGATATAATGAGGATTAGGATTAACTGTGGACCGTATACCTTTTCGTAGTGCAATCGGTTGATTAAGAGGAGACAAGTCCGCAGTATTAGCAGGGTCAGGTGCAGGACGTGAATCAGCTGGGCCTGATGCTGGGGGCGGACGACGATGATAAGTCAGGAGTGGTGGAGCTGTAGAAGGTTGAACTGGACTAGGTGGTGGCACTGGAGCTATAGTTGGTGGAACTGGACTAGGTGGTGGCACTGGAGCTATAGTTGGTGGAACTGGACTAGGTGGTGGCACTGGACTCGGTGGTGATACTGGAGCTATAGGTGGTGGAGCTGTAACTGGAACTGTAGGCGGTGGAGCTATGGAGGAAGATGAATGGGAGATAGGGACTGAATCTCCAAAAGAAGGAACAGGTAGCACCTCAGAAAT